TTCNTGATGACTGGAACAAAAACCCCAATGATCCTACTAACTGGAAGTATACCAGAGGATTTGTAGCCGATGGCAATTTCACAGCAGCCCACCAAAAACAGGCACGGCCCAAAGACGATGTTTGGCTTAAAAATGGGGATAGTTTCATGACGCAAAGAGGACCTTATNTGAGCCACCTTCGGGACGCGATTGAAGATAATGATGTAAGTTTTTATCCTTCGAGCGACTCGGCCGGTGTCTGAATCTTTCAGCCGAGGACATGTCATGAGCACAATGCTATCAACAACAAGAATGTATTTCACCGAGGTTTTGACGCTACTGGAATTGGAGCCATTGCTTGCCTTCGACATGGCACCTTTTGTCCGGGTTCGGTGGTAGATTTTCAAAAGGGAGAACGGTATGCAAGTTATCCTCGGGTTGAATCGTTGATTTACCAGACAGGCAAATGAACATGGACTATGCCTTGTGCCAGGCTCTGAAGAATACCATGACCGGTGAAGAAAAAAGGGTTATTTTTGTCTATGACATCAACTGCCAGTATATGGTGAATTTGATGGCTCGGATAAAACGTGGTGCGAAACACCTCTGGATCAGACCAGACTTGTTATTGGTAGCCGGGATCGGCTTATTCCATGTCCATGGCCATCAAGAAATATGCTTTCCACGATTTGCCCCAACATTCATCCCCGGGGCCGGTCAAACAGATGGAGAGATATTGGAGACTTTGTGGGCTGTTCTCAACGAGGTCGGTCGCACCACCCGGACAATGACTTTGGCCCATAGATCGGAGGTGTTGGATGCTCACATGCTGGATAATAACTGGAAAAAAATGATCAATATGGGTATCTATTTTCAACTGCTTTTACATTGCTTCTAAGCTAATAAACGTCAAGTGAGTAGCCTTTGCAAGAAGTGGAAGCGAGCAAAACTCGGGCTCTCTGAGAGCTTCCAGGCTCTTGAAGAATTAAGTGCCTCAGCAAGTAAGGAACAGATTCAAGAATGGGAGCAACAGATCAAAACGGCAAATTTGAATCGGGCAAAGGACCTTTCCGCCATGGACATCTATTACGTCAA